ACCTTGTTGAGCAGCATATGATAAAGTAGTAGTGTAGTTTATCAAGAATCTTTTATGATTATTTCATAGACAAATATCAATAAGAAAATCAAATTCATTATCGAAAGTTTATCAAATAAATTAAATAAATTCAATTTTTCTTTCTATATTTAAACAATAATTAATGCTAAATAATATGTTCTATCCAAATTATCAACATTGAAAAAAAAACCATTTATTTTGACAATCAATGCAAACCATTTTTATCTTTCGAGATATATAAATTATCAACATAAAACTTACATAATCGAGAAGAAAAGAAAACTATTTTAAAATTTTATATAAATACTGTATAGCAATTGTTATTCAATACTTGAATCATTGAATGTATATAATAAAATACTTAATTCAACTTATATAGTGAAGGTTTTATTATTTAGAAACAAAATAGAACGTTTTCTTAATATAAATAATATCTTATGTCCTTGTTCAATCAAAGACAAAGGATGATGTATTCACAGCTACGGGATATGCTTTTTTTTTTCTCATAAAATTGTATGAGATGTTACTTTGTTTTCTTTTTCTATGATTGAAGCATGTCTAATATTTCTCTCTTTAGAAGAATGAAGAAAAATCTTGGAAGTGAATAGGTAACATGAATCACATGGTTTAATATAAAACATACTATAATTAAGATTTTTATTCCAGATGCTACACATAACAAAAAAAACAAAAAAAAAGTCGTTAATCAAAGGTGTCTAATTTAAACTCAAATAGAATAACCAACCGGCGGGTTTTTTTTTTGCTATTTTTATTTTTACTAATGGGCTCGTGATAGAACTATGCGCACGAAAGAGTTTGCATAAATCAAAATTATACAATAATCGTTTATACTAGAATAAAAAACGACCTTTATTTGCCATTGATGTGTCAAACAGTCAGATACTTTGTCGTTTCGTTTGATCGGAGAAAAAAAGGAAGTAAATTCCATTGATGAACGTAATAGATTTTTCTCGTCATTTATTAGAACAATTACAATGACAATAGTACTGACTATAGAAACAATGATCGTATAGCATGATCTTTTTTTTATGTTTATTCATGTAAAGTAATATCTGATTAATCGATATCAATAATACTTCTTTATGTAATGCCACTATAAGCAGGCTATTTATTTCTAAATTTAGACGACAGAAGAAAAAATAAAACAACTAAGAATTGTATATGATTGAGGGAAATATTGAAATTGAAACAAAATTCTTACGATGATCGCTATCGATAATAGATACAATGTGGTTTCTTATCGCAAAATAAGAATCATTAAGTATAATAATAATAGAACAGATTATTATGAAGCAAACATCATCATTGAGAGAAGACAGGTGTTCAGGAGCATTTTATTCTAGAGATATGATTCTTGCTTAATATTCTCAAAGTGTTTGAGCAGTGATACCTACTCTGATACAATCAATGAAAACTGCTTGAGAATTTCTTCTTTGTATTGGTTTCGGGTTTTTTTTCTATTCGGTATTTTTCATTAGATGCTGAACAACAGCCTACTAGAAAATTCAGAGTCATTGACAATTTCCTAATCAGCAACTTTGAAAAAAAATGGTAGACTTACAACTTCTAAAAATATAACAAGAAAATTTTGCTAGGATGAACAAACTTAAACGCCAAAAAAACAGAAAACAGATAACAGATGTAAATAACAATTAGTTAAAAGAGAAAGACCTCCCATCTAAACTATCAGAATAACATACTATATATAAAATTAAAATTATCTTTTCATTAACCGAACTGCTCCAATAGAAAAAAAGAAAAAATGCAGATTATTAGAGCATGCAAAATAATTACTTTCTTTCTGATTCACATATTAATGATAATTATTTATGAGCTTTAAGAATTAGACTATATCTAATGAAGATTCAAATATAGACTTTTTGTATTCGTACCTACCCAAATCAAACAATCAGATAGTAAGATCTTACAAGATTGTACCCCTGGTCTTGTAAGATCAGACGAAAGTTGTAGTTTCAGAAATTTTACAGTAAATCGTACTATAAGACATTCTATAATCTCATAGAAATATCTTACAAGGTAGCAAGATCTTTTCAGAATTTTAAAATACGACTTAGCGGACGATTTCTGAGACTAGGATTATTTTGTACAATTTTTTTGTCTGATCTTACAAGATCTTATCGTCTGATTTTTCGAACGGGGAAGTTATAATTCGGTGAATATAATATCTAAACATATATCTAGTACCTCTAAATCAAAATCTTTAATAATAATTCTAAGTATAATATTATCAAATAGTTTTTTCAATGATCGCAAAAATTACTTAGATTTTATGTAAGATCTTTATATAGACAAGCAACAAGAATTATTTTACAAGGAAATCTTTTCAGGTGTTAAATCGTTTCTTGACTGAGAAGATGTTTATTAGGTGAGACCTAGCAAGTAATAGGAAAGTCTAGAACGATTTAGTTATCTGAGTCTTCATTCTTGAGATATCGAAATTGATAGTAGATTTTTCAAAAAGCGGTTGTGATCCCCTCATATCATATGATAAATCAATTGTCAACTTCAAACTTTCCTAGTATCTCTTATCCTGAGATATGAAATATTCGAATTCCTTTCATATGTACAAGCAAATTTTGTTCATATAGATTTATCTCTAGGAAAGAAATACTAATTGCACAATCAACTAATCTCATTCAAGATTTTGTTGATGCAAAATTTGAAGACAAATCACAGGTTTTGTTGAAAAACCCAGCAAAACTCCAATATCTCAAGAATGAGAGTTCGGAGAACAAACCATTATAGACTTTTCTATTATTCACTAGAAGGCATCAAATGAACATCGTCTCGGTCAAAAATAGATTTGATACTTGAAGAGCTTTACTCGTCAGCCGAAATGTTAATAATTTATTTTGTCTATTCTGAAATAAATGCATAAATAAAAAAAACGGTTTTGGTGTAAGTTCAATTTATTAGAGTATTGCATCATATGATGATTCAATCTATAGACCATAATCAGGATTACATATTTCAATACTGTTCAAGTTTGAAGCATAGCTATAATTTTAATTACCAAGAAAGATATTCTATTTTTTTTCTATTCTTTTTTTTCATGCATTATATGGAACAACAATTTTGTTAACTCTTACCGTCAGGTATCTTTTCACTTCATTAATACTATCTTAACTAGCGTATGTCATTAACGGAATTTTACTTAAGAAATCAATCTTGCCTTAAAGAGAAGTAGATAAACTAAAAAGTAATGACACTATTCGGCATTTTCAAAACAGACTTTAGTATTAGCAGAAACGCCAAAAAAACGCTTTCAATTAGTAGATGTAATTATTTGGTTGCTCTACTCTCACAACCGGATTGGAGGGCTAGCACCGATGACTTAATTCAACTATTGCCATCACCAATGCAAATTTATAAGTGTTGATTGATGAAATAACTTAACAACAACATGAATATGTGTTTATACTAAATAAAAAAGTTATTTTTCAAAGTCGATGAATTCTTGATATAATGAAATGATATGAAGAAGGTTCTTTGTCATTAGATGAATATTGTGATAAGATTAGTAAAACATTATAATAATAGTCTTGTGACTACAATTTTATAAACTATTACATTTCACGCTGATTTATATTATGAAAATAACTTGTTATAATAAAAAGTTGTAGTTACTCTTCTTCATCAGCTATAGTTGGATAAAAATGTGTCGATAAAACGTAACCAAATGTTACAATCAAGTACCACATATTAATTAAAATTGACTACTAATCTGCGAGGCAAAAGTGATTGCTAAAATCAGGTCTATGGTTTTCTACTCAGAAATATCATGGACAATACATCCTATTCTAATTGAAAGGAGAAAGGCTGAGTTTTAAGCCAAGTTCAATTTCGAGAGTCACCAAACACTCACTTGCAACTTGTATTCTCTTCAAATATCTCACTCGCATCAAACCTATCTTTTTCTTTATAAAAGATTATGTTCAAAATTATACAGTTATATAAACTAGAAAGGTTTTTATTAAGCTTTCAAAGGATGTATGCTTTACAATTTTTTCATTTAAATTCAAAAAATAGTTCCTCTAATCTAAGTAATAGTTTACAGATTCTGAATAAATTGCTCTCCTTTTTCTGAAACAACATGAAATTCTTCATCAATTCGAATTATTTATAAACTTTACTATCATGTTTAAGCCCTGAATAATGAATATTTCTCAATTTCTGAACTTTCCAATAAAATATAGTGCATTCTATTAAAACTAAGACATAAAATACTCATTGTTTATTGTTAAAGAATTACTGAGTCACTTTAGAGAATATGAAAGTTACTAAAGGTTTGTGAAGATTTAAGTTCTTTTGATGATGTTCAATCTCAAACTTTTTCTTATTTTAAGTTAATCGTAAACAGAAGAACTTTTCGTATGTTTTTTGAAATTTAGACATTGTTCTTTTCAATGAAAAAGAATTAAATTTCTACGCTGTTCTTATGTGGAGAACTATGAATCGAGATTTTGGCAGTTAATTTTGCATCTTAAGTTATGTTTTTGTATTCGCTCATAATATAGCAATAAATAATTAGTAAAGAAAAGTTGAAAATTTATCCAATCGATTTTACATAAGATAATAATATCAAAAAAAAAATCAATTTCAACTGTTTGTCGATGATGTTACTGATTCATGTTCATGTCGTATAAGTAAGTTTTAATATCACTTCTTCGATCACATGAGGCTTTTCTCCTATTCATTTTCTTTCAAAAAAGTGTCGTTCGAGTAGAGAAAAGTAATTCGATTGGGTAATAAAGGAAATATTTCATGGTTATCAATGCGTTATGCTTCAAGGTTTCTTTCTTTTCTCCGCTTATTTTTTTGCTTTTCTTTTTCTTCGCATCAATTATTTATTCACATACATATAGTATATAGATACAAGTCATTATTTTTTAATATAGTAACAACGCATAACATTTAAAGATACAATTAACAAATAAATGGACAAAGTTGTCAATAAAACAATCAATGCTATAGCACGATTTGGCGAACGTCTTGAAAGACGTCTTTCAAACGACGAAAGTGATGACACATATTTGCAGCCATCAGAATCAGATTCTATGTTTCCAAGTACTAGATCGACTTTTTATCGTCCATTAGACGGTCCAAGTCATAAACGTAACGCATATTCATCACAGCGAAGAGATTTAAGTTATGGTGGTGCAAGAAAATATTCTTCAGATAATTTAGCTGCTAGTCCTGGATATGGAAGTTTTAGTAATTATCGACAAAGTCCGATAAGTGATTCATATCGCGACGATTCAGATAGATCACCATATGGAGCTGGTATAGGTGCTCTACCAAATTATGGTAGCTATTCAGGAGGATATCCTAATCCATCATCAACTATGCCATATGGTTTCCATCCTGGGAGCGTAGCCTATGCTCCTAATTATTATATTGCTGAACGACGACAAGTCGACTTAGTTCCTGCACCACCACCACGAGTTATTCGAGAACCAGTTCCGGTTCCTGTTCCAGTCGATCGTCCAGTACCTCAACCTTATCCAGTTGAAGTACTAAGACATGTTCCAATTGATCGACCTGTACCAGTTCCAGTGCCATCACCAGTACCTGTCGATCGGTTCGTACCAGTGCCTGTACCAGTTCCCTCACCACCGGTTTGTGTCCCAGTTCCTGTTCCAAATCCGGTTCCATATTATGTACCTGTTGGTGTTCCTGTTCCATCACCTCGAGCAAGTCCTGTCATGTTTGAACAATCAGTAACTCATACTCAACGTTGGACTACCGGTTCACCGGTTATCATGAATCAACAACAGTATTATGTTAGTTCACCTGCCATGGGTATAAATCCGTATGTATCCTATGGTAATGGTCCGTTTATTCGTTAATCCTATTTTCCTTTTCTTTATAAAATATTGTAAGCTATAATTATTTTTTGAAAAAAAAATAAAAGGACAGTTTGAGAAAGTTACTAAATTTCTATGAAATTCATTGCTATTTAGACATAAAAGATCATAGAACTCAAATATCAAAATATTTTGAAAACCAATATCATCTATATTGAATTAATATGTTGAATTGTTCCGATATCTAATTAGATAAAAGTATATAAACTTATCTAGAAGATTACAACGATGTGAAAAATAAAATCTTCTCAGTGTTTTTTCTAGTTGCAATTTTATTCAAAATTTTTTTTTTAAGTTATATTTTGAACAAAAATGCACAAATGATGGAACAAAAACAATTGTTTTTTTCTTCTTTTATTGTTAATCATATCATGAATTATGTACTTTTGCCTTTTGGTTTGATTTCTTTAACATTAAGACCAGGTGGCAATGATTGTTTGACTTTTTCAGCTTTTTCTTTATCAGCCACAATTACTAAGATTATAAAGAACAAAATAAAAACATGATGAATTAAAATTCGAATGATCAATAGACATACATGTATACAAATAACGACTGCATCGAACTTTAAATTTGGTATTTCCTTGACGTGTACCATGTTCAGGATTACGTTTGATAATCACTGATTTAGCATCTTTTCGTCGAGCAATAAGTAAGAAATCTTTAATGTCTTTGATTTCTTTTGGCATTATGATGATAAAAATATGAGATGAACGAAGATCTAAAAAAGAAAATGAAGAAATTTGTTGAGAAGTTTTCCTATACGAATAGTGACAAAATAAATAACAGAAATGGATACGATATCCATATTTAACCCAATAAAATAATGTTCAAATCTTATGATTTATATTAATAAATTGAATATAATATTGAAAACATATTAAAAAAATGCAATTCATTTTAAAATTATTTTATCAAAATAAAATCTAAAAGCATTGATAAAAAAGATGTCGTTAGTTATATTAGAGTACTAATGGTTATACAATTGGTATTTAGAATTCATCAATGAATCATTCAACAAAACTACCATTTGATGAAACTGAATTTAAAAAAAAAACAGAAATTATTCGATATCTTGATATAATATTGTGAGAAATGGCAATAGTACAGATCATTCACTTAAATTTTACACAATGCAAAGCATTTTATTGTTTTCCATGTTTATTTAAATAGAATATTTAAGATAGAAACTATGAATATATAGTAAATTAATCTAGAAAGCTTTTTCAAAGTGTTTTCGAATATGTTCTCCTTCTCGAGATTTTTCAACTATTGTTTGATTATATTGTTTAAGTTATTTAATGTCGATATTTTGTTTCTTTCTACTCAGCCTTTGATAATGCCTCAAAACAAATAATCCATAAGTAACATTCGTCAGGGCTCGATTCATTTGATCCTAGACTGACTGGATGCAGATATGCATATAGGTGTTATTGAGCATTAAGTAAAATAGAAGATAGATGCAAGAAATGACTTGGCATATAAAAGCAATTTGTTTCATGAAACAAATTTTTTTCATAATATAAAACTTGAGTTTTATGTTTATAAAGAAATACCAATTTTGAATATGTTACACTTGTTTAATTAAGTGCCGTTTATAGCAAAGCTGTCAACGTAGCTGTCCACCAGACCAGATCAAAGTTGTTGCCCTGGTTCTTACGTTTTGAAAATCAAATGTTTGACGCATCGTCTTACTTTTCGAAAGTTCTTAAACAACTTCATTCGAATCTAATAACAAATGGTTGATTGAAACGTCAGTTTAGTCTCATAGAACTTCCATTGACTGACAGAAGGACTTGGTTAGATTCAAAACAATTGAATGGTAAATTTTGCCCTTGTGCTACTGTAAAAATTAATTATCAAATGTGAATGTCCTTGTCGGTTATTATGAATATTGCTCGTTCCCTACATTTTTGTTGTGCATTTTCTTTTACCTCTTCCTTGTAAACCTAGTTAAATGTTGTTATGCTATTGTGTTTGTATTTTTCGATTTTGTCAGACAGGTCTAATATGATCAAAAATATTGTGTTAATTCAAGGCTTTCTTATATGAGAGATGTTTATATTATCTCATTATTTTCATTTGCTATTTCTTGCAAGAATTTAATTATTATCTTATCTTAATAGCAATGAATTAAGTGAGCAACTGACACTAGAATAACAGATAAATGTAGAGTTCTAACATCAAATGTATTTGTAAAATCCGAAAGATCAATCGGTCCCGTTTGTTCTGAAGGCCAGACCAAAAAAGAAAGTGTTTTACTGATTACTCTGGTTTAAATATGCAATTTTATTGATTTTTATAAAATAAATCTTATCACATTTTTCGATCATTGCACTGCTGTAACTATATTCGATTTTGTTCTCTCGTACTGTTCTTAGAACTGTATTATCATTTTCAAATGATGATTGAGTGCAATGAACGAGAAATTCATTTTACGATTTATTGATTTATGCCAAGTTCTAAAATTTTATCTGCCATATGCGGTGATGCATAGTAGTATATCGGTTTTCAAAATTTCAGAATTGTAAATAAAAAACTTGAAATTGAGAATGATTTGGTTTTCAAGCTATGTAATCTTGACACATTATGTCTTGCTACTTGCCGTTTCATCAGAGCAATATCTTGAGTCTTAGGTAAACATTCGTGACATGTTATATCTAGCATTTTTGATTGTTCGATTCAAGCAATGATTTCTTTCATTGTACGAACTAGTGCATTGTCTATTTGAAAAATCCTTTCATTTTTAATCAATATAAAAGCATAGAAAATCATGTCTTATAATATCATAACTATTTACTTTGGTCTAAATTATAGCAAATACACAATGTAAGTCATTTCATTGGATTATTTTTTGTTGTCCGAGTGAACAAGAACTTCTGAAAATGTGTTTGAATGCTTTAGTCGTGGCACTCGTGTCATCGTTTTCAGATCCATTGAGAAAACACCAAAGCTGACTATTGTCATCGTAAATGATACGTAACGAAGCTAAAAAAGACAACTTTGTCAACTAGAGAATGTCCAAAAAGTTTTCTCACAATATTTTTGACATACAACAAATATAAAAAAGTCATTTTTATCTGCAAAACATGTCAAAAACGACGCGGAAAAATTTTTTCGACGTTTTGCAGTTGCAGATATTGCTATTTTAAGTGCCTTCAAGCGCCTTTCATGATGAATGTAGCTAGTTTTAGTATTTTTCTGAATGAACGTGTCAATGAAAACAGTGATTGGAGCGTTCAAACGCATTTTCAGAAATTCTTGTCTCTTTAGACTGTTTCGACATAATACAAAATCCTGTTTATAGAGTATAAGTGAATAATTTTCTGATAAATTTAAGAGAGCAATTAAGAGAGATGTTCATAGTAAGTTTAGTCGAAAAGATGAACTATGGAATTATTCATTATAGAACGATGCATCTTTAGTAAAAAAAAATATTTCATTAGACTGAGAATATGTTTACAATAAATGTACAAATAACTTAACTATTTACATGCTATTTGCGCTTTTGATATAGAAGAGAAAGACAAGAATATTTTTTATATTTCTGCCACATTCAATCATCAATGTAATCCTGATAACAGAGTGTTTCAACAAGCATCTATTATACGTTATTTCTCCAAAACTAAATATCTTTTGAAATACATATATTAGTCTTGTCTTGTGTCGTTTTTATGTCTCAATGTTGATTATATGCGATATTTTACTCAGATTATGTTCATTATTAGTAATTAATGATTTTCTTTTTTTTTTCTGGATTTGATTTAGTTAAGTATAAAACATAAGAGTTCATATCGAATATCACTCTAGTACGTATGTAGAAATTTGAGATCTTTTTGTTCACTATGATGATCAAGCAGCATATCACTTTCTTTCCTATAACGAGAATCATTCTTTTTACTTGTCGACGTTATAAAATATGCAACCAACATATTTGTATACATCTGATTTTGATAAAGAAGTTCGATGGCGTTCAGAATTTTCTACGGGAGTACCAATTCTATTAGGAATTTTGCAAATGTTATTAACAGTTGCTATTATTGGTCTTGAAATAGCATCAGTCATAATATCACCTATTCTTGGAACACTTTATGCTGGATTTTGGTGTTCAGTCATTTTTATGTTGTCATGGATATCCATGCTTGGATTAGGTGATTACAAAAATTTGATAGATATGATTATTTAATTAATTGTTTTTGTTGATTAGTTTGTTGTCATCGAGCTCGTAAATGGACATCATTTATGTTTTTTATATCAATTCTTTGCGCTGCTGCTGCTATAGCTCTGATTGTGTTAGACATATTCTTTATTAGAGATATAGATAAATGTTTTTTCTTAAATGTTACGTGTAATGAATTAGCATTATCTTATTTTCCATTATTATTTAGTCAACCACTTGGAAGAAAAGTTCAAGTTTTAAAAGTGCAATTAACATGTGCTGCATTAATGTTAGTAACAGCTATTTTGTATATGCTTCTTTTCATTTCTACAAGTATGGCTGTTCGACGTGGTACTAGTCGAGTACTTTTTGAACATCATCAATTACCAGCACAACTTGTTGGACAAACTAGTAGATATTCACCAACATCACAACCATCGAAATCAACCTCGGTACCTGTTACTTATGAGCCGAGTCGAATTGAATGCCCTCATTGTGGAAAATTGATTAAATTAACACAAAAGAAACGATATGCTTAAATTAAAAATTGATTGAAATTTAAGCAAAATAATGAAATAAAAAGAGATACTTTCGTTTTTTTTTTCTTAAAGTTCTATTATTCTTTAGGTTTCCTCATTAATATTGTATTAGACCAATGAGAAATCCTTTGAATCTTTCAGAAAATTATCAATAAACCATACAACTACTCATAATGCGATTTGTTCATTTATTTTCATTAAATTTGATACAATTTGCATCATGATCTCAATGTGCTTCATCTTCATTCGTTTCCTTTGAAGACTATTCATTACTTCCTAGTTGTTGCCGATACGTGAAGGAACACATTGACAATCAAGCATGGCGGCAATTTATTGTTAATTGAATTATGAGCAATTTTCTAACAATCAAGTTTTATTGCCAGTTTTTACATGTAAATATTTCAATAGAATAAATATTCATAAATTATCAAAAGTCAAGTTCAAGAGTTTATCTTGAAATATGCTTCAAGAGGAGGAATAATATCTTTCTTTCGGCTGATCCTTGAGCCTAAATTGACAACTTGGTCTTCAATATCAACATTGAATGCTTTTTGTACGACAGTTTTTTCTGGTTCACCAACAATAACCATGAAATTTTGTTCCTTGATAATATCAATAACTGAAAAGAGAATACCAGTCAAATGGTTTTTCTTCTTCTGATTGAGCATTTCTTCGATTAATTCTTCTTTACGTTCGAGTATATCATTCGGATAAAATGTATACAACACGCTTATACCCCAAAATTGATCATTGAATAAAAACATTTTGTAACCGTGAAGAAGAATTTGTTGTATCGAAAGACCACTCAAGTCACTGTTGGCTTCAAACATTTGATTAGCATACGATTCTATATTGTCAATTTTAGCGATGGGTAGAAGATAATCAACAATTGAGCGATCATCATCTGTTGTCGTAGGTAATCTAGAAAAAGATTTCAGCAAATAGGTTTTTTTTCTTTGAGAGGAAAAAACGTGGAATTTATTTTACCGAAAATGCAGTGTATCACTAATAATGCCACTAATGAGAAGTAATGCTGTCTTTTGATCGATATCCAACTGGTTCTCAATATGTAATTTAGTTAGTATTGTTGCTGAAGATCCTACTGGTTCGAAACGAAGAAAGACAGGTTCCGATGTTGTTAAATCACCTAATTTATGATGATCGATCACGTATGTCACACTCATTTTTTTCAAATTTTCTACCGAATGTTGACCTAAGTTACACTGATCTTCAATCAATCTGGGATATTAAAAAATATTTCAACTCACTTTCGTTATGATCTATTAAGGCAACTTCAGTACCATCAGGTAAATTATTTGGTAGCAAATCTGGTTGTTCGATATTGGCTGTTTTAAGTACAAATTTTGTCTCATTATCTAGCTCGCTGAGACGATAAGCTTTAGCATTAACTTTAATACGACGAAGAAAGTCAGCAAAAACTAATGTCGTCACAATTGAGTCTGTATCAGGATTACGATGACCAAATACCATGATCTCTTTCTTATTATTCATGTTTTGTATCGGTGAAGAACTGTGTCTGGTAAGTATCTTCGAAAGTAAGCTTATTTTTGATTGATCAGCAGAAAGAGTTGAATTCAATAGAAAATGTATTAATAGCAAAATAGGTTGCCATTTAAAAGATAGCATTGCAAAGAAATATAAAAAAGAATAGATTGAGTAATTAATGTAAGAAGATTTTTAGGATGATTCACCAAATACAATGCAGCTCAAGATCGCAGCGATAGTTAAATAGTAGTGATTATCTAGAATGTGTATCCAAAAAAAAAAAGAAGAAATTCCTTTTGTTGCCTTTATTTGGTCGATTTTTGACTTCAACAAGAAACATTTGGCATTCAGAACCCGATGATAAATGATTCAACGTTGCAGACTATTGAGTATTGAACTAATGAGAATCATATGATGAATAGTAATTTTGTAGATTAGAACGACTCATTCAGTTATTTTTAGAGTTCCGAGAAGGACAATGATCGGAACATCTAACACTTCAAGAAATTGTAACAGTTTCAAAGAAATGCAAATATGTACGTTTATAAAGCTTGTAGGATTTTTAACATAGTAATGGATGACACCTTAGTCCGTACTACGGATGTGCAGTTTCAGTACAAAACACTGAAATACCGACAGTGATGTCCCCACACTGAGTGCACTGACTACAACAGCATTGATGTTCACTGAACCAGTGACTATACTGACACTGACTGCACCGACTACGCTGACTACAGAGCATTGGTGTTCACTGAACTAGTGATTGCACTGTTACTGACTGGACTAAACTGTAAAAAAAAAGGGTAGAATAATAAACTCTTGCTCTAATTGCAATTTTTTACATTGCAGTGAGCACCAGTTTCTGTACAGGCAGTGTAATCAATGCCGTCAGTGTCAGTGTAGTCACTGGTTCAGTGAACACCAATGCTACTGTAATCAGTGTAGTCAGCGTAGTTAGTGTCAGTGTACTCACTGTGCCGACGAACATCAGTGTGTGACTTTGTCGGTGGTCCGTATACTGAAACTGCACATCCCTAGTCTGTATCTTCTTACAGAAATCTAAGAGACATTATTCAGATGGAAATGTATGGGTTTTTCTGCAAAAAATTATGCTTTTCTATACACATCTATGATATTCTTTACTGGGTCTTATAGAATTCCCAAATACCCAATATCAGGATTTTTGTTTTGATGTAGTGTCTAATACTAAATAACACTTAGGTCGATCGCTCTATAGAAATCTACGATATTCTTACTTTGGTTCTATAATTTTTTTGTATATTGGAATATGTTCTTTATAGTGTCATACATCGTTCAAGAATGGACGAAAATATCGAATAACATCGACAATTTCTTCACTAGCTTCAAAAGAGATAGATGATTTTATTTGTACTCTGTTGTGTTACTTGAAAATGAAAAAGTAAGATGATTGTGTGAGAATTAAAAGATTCCTTTCTTATATAACAGTTGTGCAGCAAGGAGATAAAGAGATAAAGTGGAAAATGTCAATAGGAAAATATCAAATTATGTATGTCGATCTAAGTAAATATTAAACACGCCCTTGTTAACAGATACAATTCTTATGAATGATTAATGTTTAAAACTTTATCGTGGATCATTTTGCTCTCTTCATTGGAGAAAAGAAAACAGTTAAATATGTTTCTTATGAGGCACATACTCAGTAACTTATTAAAACGTGATCTATCCACAAACGGTATGAAAACAAAAGAGAGCGCGACAATGCATTCAAATAGTATTGATTTTAGAGTTCTATTATGTCATGAAGCTTTTCATTTTGTTTCTCATAGTTTGAGTTAGATTAAAACACAGTAGAGTGACTTCAACGAAAACTATGAAACTTTGTTGAGTTAAGGAGAAAACATCGAAATTTTTTCTCTTTATATTTTAATATTTATTGATAATCATACTTCAAAATATACTTTTCGAACGGTAAATATACAAAAATGGTATGTTATTGTTAGTTTGAAACGTTGATCCGATGTCGTCCGAACCAAATACACCCACAATTTCAATAGTGCATTTTACAGAGAAGTCTTCGTGCTACAAGATGTCTATGCAAAGTTTGTTCTAAATATACGTAGATTTTTTAAACACGTTAATTTTTTTTTATTGTTAGGGATACGAGTGTATACCAATATAGAAACGAAAGGTCTTCTTATAACTGAATGAAAAGTTTGGCCGTCAATTCTACATAGTATAAATCTTGCTTAAAAAGCGCAAGATGATAGAAAAACAAACTACTTCGTTTTGGGACAAGAGCCGATCTCTAGAAAAACCAATTTTGAAAAGGTAATATTTTGTAGTCTGATCTTACTGACAATTTCACCATAGATATAGTTAATGATGTGACATCTATTTTGAAATTCTTAGACTTTTTGCTACAAGATTAGACAGTTATTCACTAGTCTCATTTTAATTAATGAAGTGATTAGCTAATTAGTCTTGATTAGGTGTGAGCGTAAGTGTGGGTGTGGCTGATGTAAAGCTCTCATTCACATACACCCCTAAGCATCTTCTAAAAGCTATTTCTCATACACGTTACCACTTAGTTCCACACTCACACCAACTTCCAGCTCGTTTTTTATTTTAGATAATGGGGATTGAATCCATCTTTGACAGATATCTTCAAGGGATCATCTAGGAAATGACAATCTTTTTGAAGTCGTATTTTGTTCATAAATAGAGAATCAGTAGATAAGCACAACTTCCAAAAAATTTCTTCTTTCATTAAAAGCTGATCGGAATATGCATTTTTCAGTATGATGATCCTGTTACAAAATTTAAAGAAAAAGTCAGTTATATTGTAACTTTTTGAAAATGTCATATTTTTAACAGTCCATATACTGGTCAAATTTTGATAAAAAAAAGAAATCCTTTGGAGGTTATATTGATTTGCTCGTCCTCTATTGTCAACAAAATATGGGCTCAAAAAGACTGTCATTTCATTGATGAACCTATTGAAATGTACCTCTAAAATGAGCAGAATCACCATGATTTCAAGTGAAAGTGAAGCAACTTTTTCGCTTAAAGTTGTTTTCTGAATAGATGAACTGTATTATTGTTTCATGCGTGAGGAGATCAAAGTAGAAGAATCTAACGTTCCATGAATAATTGATGGCTAAATGTGAGATTGTCAGAAATAGACAGGAACATCACTCGACTGGACTTTATTCATTGCTATAAATATTTATTTAATATAAACATGGATTGACGTCAGTCTTATTGAGGCTGAATTAAGGAGAGAATTCAATAGATGCAAGTATTACTACCGCCGTTAAAATAATTTTCATCGGCATGACTTCTCAATAATGTATGATTATCATTGATTTTAATAATGAATTGTTGAGCATAATGATCTGTCTGTTTTATTGACTCTCACTTAAAACATGAGAGACAGTGCTTTTACAGTCTATTATTCTTTGCAGCTCGGATAAATATGTCAGTAACGAAGAGTGATGAATAATTCTGCATTGCAGCAACTTAATCTCGTTCCACATCTTAATCGCATGAATATTTCAAGCAAAGCTTTTTCTTTTTTCTTCTGTTCTTGTATTATGCCGTATTTGAAGATTTAAGATAATACTAGATTTCATTTACTTGATGTAGAGAAATTTGTCAAATAATTGAGATTCCAAACGTTAGGTGCGCAAAAACATCAAAACTCAAGCTTGGTTATATTGTCAAAATCTTTGAACATCAGTCACATTAGAAGCTTCCATATTATTGAATTCTCAATTGAAAAATTTGAACGCTTGATATTTTAGAAATCATGGTGTTTCTATTACAGAACGGTAATAAATTACATTTTGCTGCATTAAGCTATGAATCGCACAACAGGGAGTACTTCATCATCAAGATGATAGATGGAGAGATGTAATTAAAATACAGCAACTGTCAAATATAAATATCACTGTCGCTCACGTTTTGTGAATAGCTAAAGTGCATGACAGGTATTATACATAATCGTAATTATGCGTATTGATGAATAAGAAGGGCATAAAATGAATGGCAATATTATGTTACCATATTATTAAGACAAGACGCATTAGTATACTATAAAATGTTTCAGCGGAACATTAAAACTACTTCATTTTGATTGACATCACTTTATTCGAGACATTAGCGTAGAACTAGCTATTTAAATCACATTAAAATCGTATTATTTGCATGTCAAATTGATTGATATCTGATTACTTTGAACGAAGTAAGCAATCGTATATCGACTGTAGTATGTTACGAAATTCTTTTAGCATGAAGCGTATACCAATCAAGAAACTCGTATTATTCAACTGAAAAACTGAAACATAGTCAAAATATACGTAGGGTTTACAATAAACATTTGAACTAGATACATTGATAATATTTCGACTCGAGTCTCAAGCGTTTCTTGTTGGCTTGATGAAATACTTTGCTTACTAGGCTTTGTATATCAATGACTTTCGTTGACAATTGCACACATGCTTAGTAAAGGTTTCAATCCTAATTGTGACAACAATTCAACACATTTTCTGAAAAAGGATTAGTAAAAAAAAATGTTGTAGTAAAAACTTCATACTTCGAAAATATGCCATCATTAGACTAAAAAGTGACTAAAACATCAAAAATTGGCACAATGACACATTAAACATATCAGACCACTATTATTAAAGATTTATTCAAGCCAAAAGGTAAAATTGAAATATCGTATCTGTGTTGTATATGCTTTTTTTCCTCTCTCTAACTGAATACATGTACTAATTAATCGCAACAAGCACTCAGATGAAGATCGAAAAGCAATAAAATGTCAGAAAGAAAGAAGAAATAAACACTATTCTATCAGTAATGTTACCTTGTAGAAGAAAAAAATAAAATTGATACTGAGCATTTTTTAGTAGCTTTTAGTTCATAGTTTTTTAATCATCTATTCAATAGAGTCTCTATATTGATTGAAGAGACCAACCGCTTGACTTGAAAGCAAGAAATAA